AAGAGCAGGATGCAGCCTCACAATCCCCCTTCTGAGGGTGTTTCACCTTTCTCTTGCTTTGGGCGGTGAGCAGCATTCTGGATTCATCTTCCGTACACTCTCCTCACCGCACACGCACAGGCAGTCAGCACCTACAAAACAGTTTTTCATGCATGGGAATGAAGCCCTGAGCGTTCTCTACTGTGTGTTTTTTCACTGTTTGTAAACAATTCTAGATGCTCATTGACAGTCCACCCGACCATCCTGAGCGGTCCTATGGATGAGCCCGAGCTGGCCAAGGGAAAGAAACATCAAGTCCTGCAGTAATTTCAGGGTCTAAACCAAGCTTTTAAAAGCTACCCAACAGTCAAAAAAGTTGCACCCGTGTTCATGCTAAGACAGGCAGATAACCTGTACAAGGAAAACAAACAAAAATAATGATCTAAAAATAATGTGAAAACTTGTATTGTTCAAGGGAAACACAGTTTTAGTTTTCCAAATTACAAAAATAATAAATGCTCAATGTAAAAAGCTTGGAAAATACAGAAAAAATAAAATAGGAAAACTATTGTTGGTATTTTTTTGTACTGTCTTCCAGTATTTCACTATGAATAGTCACCTATATATTAATGTATAGTACATATTATTATATGTTATATTTATATTATAATATAAAATTATATAAAGAGGTATATGGAGTTTTTACATATAAAATAATAATTTATATATTTTTATATATTTCTTTATAAAATATGTATTTGAATATTTCATATAAAATATCACATAAAATGTAAGAAATCATTAATTTTGTTTTTCATTTTTACTCTAAGGTAACATATATTAATTGTAGAAAATCAGAAAACATGCTTGAATCAAAAGAAAGAGGTGAAAATCATATTTATTTCCACCATTCAGGAAAGACTACTTTCATTTGTTTTATGCCTTTTCCCATTTATTTAAAATACACACACATAAGAATAAAATGATACGCCAAATTATATGGAAATAGCATCATGACATATGTTTTATTTCATAACTACTCTGGGGTAATACAACGAACCTCTTAAACCATTGTGTTTTTCTTCTCCTTGTGGGCCAGCTCATGCTATGGCTTCTTCTTACGGAGGGACACCACCTGGGATCATGGGCCCTGCTTAGCCACAAGGGTCTACACTGACTCTCTTGAGTTGCTGGAGGCTTGTGGAAAAAGAAGTCCTAAATTGAAAAATCTTTCTTTTAGATAACAAGAGCAAAGCCAGGAAGTCTGGTAACAGGACTTTGCTGCAAGGCACAGGGCAGAAGAGGCAGCGGGTAGGCTGGGGGTAGTTCTTCCAGGTGGGAAGGGAGCATAGAAAGCGCTTCCAGGCCAGGAGCAGAAGCAGAGGAGAGAGAGAGGAAGAGAGGCAGTGGTTCAACAAGCTAGGCCTTTCCTGTCCCCCTTCCTTGACGTTATATCTTGAGGATCAGGGTGTTAGTAACATCTAAAGGGAGTTTGGGGAAAATCTAAAAATGTCCGGTTGATGTTCTGAGATAGAGTTTGAGGAGATTTCAAGTCTCTTGGGTTTATCTGGCACAGATTCAGCAAAGGGCCATGGAGGAGGTTAGAAACGACAGAGGGAAGTGGTGCAGTCTAGACAAAGGGACATGAGATAGCACTCCTGTCTCACAGCTTGCTTGGGTGTCTAGGGGATTCCTGATTCCCTCATGGGCCAGCACAGAAGTGCAAAGAAAAGGCCCTGGGTTGGGACCAAGAGGGCACAGTCATTCTCAACCTTCCAGTCTAAGTCAAGGGAGGAGGCAAGTGGCAAATACACTAACTTTCTAATGCAGTTCAACACCGGAGCCAACTGAGTTCCCACCCACATGAGGAAGGCAAAGACGAGGCCTCACCCTCAATGAACTCAGAATCTGGAGACTTCAATTCATTCTATACCATGTGGTACACACGTGACTAAAAAAACCAGGTTAAGGTAGATGCCGGTGGAGCCCAGATTTGGGAGCAATTCCACGGACACTCTGCTACTGCATTGGGCTATCAGGCCTCTGAGAGGCTAGCCCAGGTGTTGTTCCCTCATCCTGTTTTCCATGGCCTTTCTCTACTCCTCTGCCCTCCCTCAAGCCACATCCTCATCTCAATCCTCTATCCCAAGTTGTTTTTGCAACATCTTCCACGCATTTTAGAGTGTTCATGGTAGTAGCAAGCCTAGTGTAAACAGGGTTGGGCCTTGAAGCTATGGTTAGAAAGTCAGGAAAATGGGACCCGGACAATAATTGCTAGAAATTGATAATAACAATAATAGTAGTAGTAGTAGTATCACTTGTAATTACCCTTACTGTGTTCCAGGCTCTGGTTTAAGCACTTTACATACACAGTATGAACTCATATATTTGTGTTAACTCATACATTAACGTGTAACTCAACTGCATGAGCTCATACAATATACATAACAGCCTGTGAGGTAAGTACAACTATGATTCCTCCTTTTAGAGATGAGGAAACATAGGCACAGGGAAGTTAAAGTGACTTTCCCAGGGTCATACAGCTAGTAAGTGGAAGCTAGAACCCCATTCCTTGCAGGCTGGCCCTAGACCCTTATAGTAGGTGACAGCTGGGGACACCAAAGGCTCTGAGCTAGGGCAAGGGGAGAGGCTGTATTCAGTTTGGGGATGCAGGCTGGCCCAGAGAGGTCATATAGAATCTAAAGCCGTCCTTAATAGCTTTCCAAAGATTTCCCAGTAGGCAAGATGGTTTAGAGTGCCTGTGGCTTCTACTTTGCTGCTCTGGAAGCATACTCGCGGAGATTACAGCTATGTTTCACATCACAGTTGGGGAGGTCTCTGTAGGAGAGAAGAATATGCACTTGCATTGCACACTATTAGGGTAGAGCCAGCATCCAGGAAAGTGTACATGTCCACACCTGCACAGGTGTTCCTGGGTGAGGCAGTTGGGGCAAGCCCCCCGCTGAGGAATGTGGCAGGAGAAGGCACTCTTTGTCTCGCTCCAGTGGCTTTCAATTAAAGAGCCCAGAGTGCTTTGCGGGCATCCATTCATGCGCTTAGCGCCTGAGCTGCACTGACTGGCTGACAAGCCTCTCTACCCAGCGTCCAGGGACTATGTCTCCACTTGTAGACAGGCCAGCGGGAGGTCAGAGCCAACCAGAGGAGCTCTGCTCTTCTTGTGAGGCCACAAGGCCTGGTGGGCTTGCTGAAGTGAGTGATCTGCAGAGCACCCAGACCCAAAAGTGGGCCAGACACAGGCCTGTGAGATTGACCCCATGCTTCCCATACTTTCTCTCATTCAGCTGTGGCAATGACCCGGTGGAGGAGCTAAGCAAGCTCCTGTGTCACAGATAAGGAAACTGAGGCTCAAAGTGGAGTTGGAAAATGAAATTTCAGGAACCTTCAACTGCATTCTCCTGGCCCTTGTTCCAGAAATATCTTCGAATATACCATCCTGTCTTGAGCTCCCACAGTATTTAAAATACCAAGTAGAACAGAGATCGTTGGGCCTGAATCAGGCTGGCCCTAGGGAACCGTTTGGGGGACAGACTGTCAACCTAGTGACTGATATATTCAGGCCACCTAGACACTGGTGGTGAGGCTATGAGTGTTTTAGGGGACAGAGGGGTCAGAAGCTGGGCCTGCTCATTTCTGCCAGCAGTGATGTGGAGGCCCAAGTCTAGAAAAGGGCAGTCCGTTGGGAGCTCTAGCTCCTGTCGCACAGAATGGCCTTGCTGAACATGGTGGGGCGTACAGATTCTCTCCAACTACCAGTGAGTGAAGGAGCTCTTTACAAAATCTGAATCCCATCCCAGCCCTCTTCTAGCCCATCTCCTCTCTCCTCCCCGCCCCCGCCCCCAAATTGGTTTGGCCTAAAATCACACAGTGCAATTTCATCTAATCCTAAAAAATATAATTATAAAAGTAAATATGTTAGCCCAAAGAGTCTTTATAATTACTTACATTTGGCTGCATTTCAAAATCAAATGTAAATAATTATAAAACATCATGGTGCAAGGGAGAAGGAAATGAACATTTATGGATGGCCTCCCAAGTTCTAGTACCTATAGTCTCATTTAAGCCAATCCTCACTGCAAGTGTGTGACAGAGGCATTATCATTTCTGTTTTGTAAGTAAAAAGAAACCAAGACTTTGAAAGGTAAAGTTAAATTTACCAAAGTTACATAAATGACAAGGTTGGATTTTTAACCCAGGGGTATCTGACGCCAAAGTCTGTGCTATTTCTGTTTCTCCACCATGTCCTAGTTTAGCCATTTATGTAGAAAGACTAGTCATGGGCGAACTACTTAACCACCCATTGCCTCAGTTTCCCATCTGTAAAATGGGTATGATGCCAATAGCTAATAGTTCTGTTCTGGTGGTCACATGAGCTCATGTATTAAAAAAAGAAACCTTTAGAACTTTAAGGCACTGTGAATATATTGTATTAATCCTCAAATTGAATTTAGAAGTCATTGTTTTTCTACTATCAGACCTTTTTATCCAGCTGTATATTTCAATTTAGCCTACCTACTTTATTTTCTACTTTCCTGATCTGATGGGCTAATCTTTGGCTGCTGAATCTAAATGGTATCACCTATGTTGCTCTCTTCCCAGCCATTAGTATCTCCTCTTCCATAGCTGCCTCTCAGATGTGCCTCTTACTTCTGGGTTCCAGGTATTCAACAATGGTCTTCCTTCAGAGACCTGAGTAGTCCATACATGCTGTTTTTCGGTAGTATGATGGTAAATGTTTAATCAGCTTTCCAAGTATAGAACTGACATGACTGTTGGAGGATAATTTCATTTACAATAATACGTGAGACAAAAATGAAATAACAAAGGTGTATTTCAGGACTTCATTTGGCGATGGCAGGAATGACTTCTTTACTGAACTGAATACTTATTTTTCAATACTGGAAAAATATTACCTCAATTCACAATGTTATTGCTACAGATATAACATACTTTTATGTTTCATCTACTCATTAACATTTTCTCTGTCACTTTCTTAAATCTAGGCCCTGACGTGTAGAATTTACTGCAATGTACATATTCTCACCATGGCTGATGTAAAGCTACCCAATGTGGTGTTACTGAACGTGGAATTGAGAAGAGCTGCACAGTGTGTAGTATTCCCACCATATTGATACCGTACACATATAACTCAAGAGCATAGATGATGGTATATTTTAACAAGATAATTAGGATGTGATCCATTTGTAGTATTTATTACCTTTGTTTTTAGTATACTTTAATTACAAGTTTATCAAATTTAATTGGTCATAATGTCTGTGCTTAACAACTGGCTTACAAAACTCCTGCAAATTTAATAACCAGCCAACGCAAGCCAGCTCCAGCGCCCCACTGCCGCACCCCTCTTCCCAGCAGCTCCCGGGGACCTCCTGTCATCTGATGGCCACGCCCTTTGTTACACAGCTCCAGCTAGTCCTAGTTCACATAAATCAAGAGAACATTATTCAGTGCTCAGCTTCTCCAAATAAGCAACGTCGACGGCTTCAGTCCAGTGGAGTGACTTAATGATCTGTTTCCTTCAATAAACTGTGATTTCTGAACTTAATTCAGGTACCTGAGCATTGCTGTAAGCTGAGAGTGAGGACCAAAGGCATTCATGATGTAATATACTAGGTTTAAACTTGGCAAGCGGATGACATTGTGAGAAATGGATTTTCTTAGGCCGATTTTAGGAGCTTGGGCTGTTTTTTTAAGAGTTAAGCCAAGGCAAAAAATAACCCTTGCAACACATCACTTCACAGCTGGTCAGCCTGGGAGAAGCTATTCTGGGATATCCACACTCAGGTGCCTCTTTAGACTTCAGGCAAACTGGAATCAGGATGTGGGGTTTCTATTCCTGTCTGCGCCAAGGGCTTGCTGTGTAATCTCTACCAGTTTAGTTGTCTGGTGGGTGCCTCAGTTTACCCACGGGCAAAATCAGGTCAGCTACCTTTGCCGAGGACATTAGACTCAAGTAATGGGGAGTAAAAAAGATAGTTTCTGGGATTTACTAGAGGGTGTGGAGTGTCCGCTCAAGGTGTTCCTAGTCAGTGGACACTCTAGGACAGTCATGTTTTAGATGAAATTTCATAAGAAATGATACATGAACCAGGTTTAACAGAGAGGAGCAGGAAGAAAAATAGAAGGCAGAAAATGGAGGAGGGGGGTTTCCAAGCAATGTCCAGGGGAAATGCTGGCTCAGGGAGTAGAGTACGAGCTGTATCCAGGGTTCACTTCTCCAGGACAAAGTGCAGGCAAACAGGAGTGAGTGACAGGACAGACAGAAGAGATAGGATCCATGGTGCCTCTGGTCTGGGTTTGATGGGATGGTTTCCTGAGTACGAAAAGAATATGACCAAAAATATGATTCTGAGACCTGTGTGGAAGAGGACTTAGGGAGCGGGCAAACTCAGAGGCAGCACCAATCTCAGAAACACCCCTGGAATATTATGTCCTGGGCTGCTTTATAAATAATCTCTCCTCTCTTCATCAGATGACATCGTGGTGCTCATAGAACAAGCCTTTCTCTTCTGTTCAAAGCTTGAGCAGCCCTTTAGATGAAGAAGCAGCAGCAGTGATCACTGCATGCTTTAGAGTTCCCTCCCCTGCCTTGGACGTCTGGCATCTCACTTTTCTCGCCAGCAACCTAGGAGGAGAGGATGCCATCCTAATTGTAACATCGGAGCCACTGAGACCCACAGATGTTAGATGATTTGCTCCAGATCACAACTGAGGCTCAAACCCATCACTTGGCCACAAATCTTGTACCTCATCTATATCAATCTGTCTCTGTCAAACCTAACAAGCTAATCAATTTTTCCTATCCATAAACCAGACACCTTTTGATATAAAAAGCCAATTGATCTCCAAAAAAACCAAAAGGCCAGTTCCAGTTGTCAAATGCTACAGACTAGTGAGTCTCTTCCCCAAGTTCTATGAGAAGCTCAAAGATCCTGAGTTTCAAAGCCAGCCAAATTTGGATTTCCTCTATAAAGAAAGAGTCACTCCCTGTTTGGAACGTACCCTTCCTCATTAAGCTAGTTCCATGTTTTGTAATAACTTTTGCTTACAACACAGAATTGTCACAGATCATGGAAACACACAGGCCTTGGGGGGAAAAAAGGTCCCGAGGCCCCTGGAAGTCATTATTCCTTCCTTTAGCAATTGCTGAGTTAAGCACCAAAAATATGGTTCCCATCTTGCTCCCTTTCCCCCCCACTCCCACCCCCAACATACACACACGATCTGCTGGACATATGTTCAGAAGAAAGCAGGGACGTGGGGGTGGGAGAAGAAGATTCACATGTCATGAGTCAAGAGCTTGTGTGTTTGAAAAGAAAAAGTGGAAGAGGGCGTGGAGTTTGCAGCCCTGGAAATGGATATCCAAAGGATTTATTGCCTTTGAGTATCTCACAAAGCATTTTTTTTTTTTAAATAAAAATCTGTAGCTTATGGTATTTTTTTCTTTTTTTTTTTTTTTTTTTTTTTTGGTATGGGGCGGTAAACAAGAACACTGAAAGGGGAAGGAAGCCAGGAGAAAGCCAGCTCCATTAGTCACGCAGCTGCATATCCTGTCACAAAGGACCCCAGTTGAGTAATCGCCCAAAATATGCCTGTTATTTTTTTTCTGTCAGAAAAAAATGGGGCCTGCCAAAATGTACTGTAAAAAAAAAAAAAAAAAAAAAAAAAAAATCTGGTCTCTCGGCCCCAGAGGGGGAAAGGAAAAGAAAAAAGAAACAGACGTAACTTCTCAACACACTTCTAACCCTCTTCCCAACTCATCTTGAAAAAGCTTTCAGCCTCTTCCCAGTGGTGGAGTCTGGGTTGAAAAAAGCTGGCTCCCTGAGGTGTTAGGCCTCAGGGTCCTTACAGTTACATGGTGCCCAGGAAGAGCTTAGGAAGAGAAGGGACCGTGGGAGAGGGTGTGAGGAGGGCAGCCCCTCGGGGAGAGGAAAAATGAACAGAAAGGGACCGGGACAGTGAAAAGCCCTTTGACGGACCATAGGTGGGTGAGGAAATCATCCCACAGGGAACCTGTGGCAGCCCACGCCGGTTCTGTGAGCGCTGCTTGAGCCCAGCCAGCGGCCAAACACGCTTGGTCAGCTTTTCTGCTGGCCTCAGCAAAACCACCATCAGGCCTCCACTGTGCCCTAGGCTGTTGGGGCCACAGATTGAATGATAAGAAGTTGTGTGGAAGGACATCTAACGATTGGGAACTCTTAAGAGTGGGGGCTGGGGAAGAACCAGAGCTGCCTGCAACCTCAGGTGTTTTCCTGGACGGGCTTTCCAAAACCCTTGGATGACAGGCTCCTGGGCGGATACTGAGGGACAGCAAAGAAAAATGTTCTAAAGCCTGGTCCAGTCACTGCCTCTGTCTCGTGCTCTCAGTCATATGGGTCTCACGACCAGGACACAAAGTGTTGGTCAGTCTAAGCTCAGAGCACTATTGGAAAGTCATGATTTCCCTCCTGCTCACATTCTGATCCAGTCAAAGTTGTCCACAGGGAGGGGAGCTTTCTGAACCCTGCTGCCCCCGGGAGGGGGGGCGGGGCGGGGCGGGGGGCAGGGGAAGAGCAGCAAGTTTCCTCCTTAAGAAAGAGAGCAGAGAGGAACAAGGCAGATAGACGCATGGTCATTTTGCTCTGGGCTCTCTGAAGGCTGTCCTACAGGAGAGAGCCCCACCTTGCCTCAGCTCCACAGGGCCAGACTGGGAGAAGACCCTTTCCAGAAACACCTCCAACGACCTGGGTCCTAACATGGCTGCGTGGCAATTCTGAGCCAAGAGAACTCTAGTCCCAAAGACCAAGTCAATCCCCCTGCTGATTGCTGTAGAAAGGCTCAGTTTTACCAAAATCATGGCCCTTCCCAGCTCTTCCAGGCCTTTGAGCCCTGCCCATCCTGTGTGAGGCACAGCCTCAAAGCCAGCCCTGAGCTTTGAGACCCAGCCCTGGCTGCTGCTTCCCCTGGGAGGGCTAACTGACACCAAAAGCCACGCAAAGGAGGCTTAAAAAGAGACACAGCATGGCCTCCTGCAAAGAACTGGCATGTGAGTTGCAAGGGCAGATTCTCCTGGTTTCTTGCTGATTTGCTGTGGAATTTCGGACAACTCAAGTGAACTCTCTTGACTATTTTTTCCTCCCTTCAATATTTGTCAGCTATTAATAGGAGCTTCTACATGCCTGTAACATGCAAGGTCCTAGCCATGCAATGGTGATCAACACCAAGACAGCTCCTTTCTTCTTGTGAAACGCATATATTCTGCAGCATGTGATTTCTTGAGTTTCCTGAAACCAGCAGCTTGGGTGGGTGAACCTGGGGGTTGAAGGATGGAACCGGAACAAAAACAGCAAAAAATAAACAGACCACAATTTTTTTTAAAAGAACGGAAACAACCAAATACTAATACTAGCATTTCCAAGTGCTTATAGATACAGTGCCCTGGCAACTTGATCATAAGGTAATTTCTACCAGGGTGTCTGGAATTTGCTGTGTTAGACATTCCAGCTCTTTGGGAAATGGAAAGGACCAAGGCTACCTTATGATTCATGAACTATAGTAATGTTAAAGCCCATCACCAAGCTCATGCTAGACGCCAGTTACTACACTGATCTGTGGGAACTCTCTTTCCTCATCTGAGCTCTAGTTGCAGGAAGTACCTTAGAGCTCTTGCCTTCCTCAGGCCTCAGTTCCTTCTTGAGGCCAAGTCCTACATACAAGCCATGAGTTGAAGTCAAAAATGTCAACACAGGCTCATCGACTAATGTTCCTGAGCTGTTGGGCCTGGCATATGAACACAGGAGTGATGTTATTGTCCTCGAACGGCAGGGGAGTGAGGTCTCTGGAGGTGCTCACCCCCACACGGATTTCCCTTTGTAGCAGCAGTGACATTTGAGTCGCTGAGCATGGGGCCACCGTTTAGCTGCACCCTCTTCCCTTCCTGTGCCCCAGAAGGGGGGCTGGGGACAGGTCCTCTCAACAGAGAAGTCTCCACTTCCTCCAACCTCGTGACAACATTTCTCAGCCCCATCAGGCGCTGCAAGCCTGCGGTTGACAGGCACCCAGGTGAGAAGGTCTTCTCAGCTCTCATTCCTCTCTCATTAGCCCTTTGATGTTTCTAAAATGACAAGGTCAGCACCTTCCACACTGTGACTGCCAGGTACATGTTCCAAACAGCTGATTCAGATGCCGTACAATCTCTGGCTGGAGGACAGAGGGGGTCGCTGAAATGACTCACTAGTTCTGCACCTGTCTTTTGGGGAACTCTTCCCTGTCAGCAAAAGACCTTCCACAGAAGGGTGCAGGTAGAGAGCTGAGAGGAAAAAGCTCTACGTGCCCAACACACCACACCCCTAACAAGGGGAGAGATCAGTGGACTGTTTCACCTCCCAGGGCCCCAGGATCCTGTGCGCGAGATTCCGCTGAGGAATCAAAACCCAGCAATATCAGTCCGCAAGCTGGTGAGGATGGAGCCTAAGAGGAAGTCTCACAAGGCCCTCAAAGTCCACTCACCAGCCTGTTCCTCAGTGGCCTCAGTTCTCAAGTTGGGGGATGATGTAACAAGAGCCTTCAAGTGTGTGAAGAGTCAGTGCCTGACAAAGCACTTACTGACCAAGGAAAAATTAACTTCAGGTGCAGCAGGAAAGGTCTGGTACCAAGAATGTCTGGGGTTTTGAGACACTGGAAAAGATTGCCTAATAATGTAATGGGCTCACTTCCCTGGAAATATCTGAAAATAGGATAAGTACTCTCCAATCTTGGATGGGTCAGCCTTGCCTTGAGGTAGGGGGATGGGTATGCTCACCCACGGAAAAAGCCTGCCAGGAACTTTGAGCCTATGAGATGGCGCATTTTCATAAGAAGAAAGAAAAGTTTTTCTTTTGGTAAAATATGTGCAATAAAAGTTAAATTTGCCATTTTAACCATTTTTAAGTGTACAGGTCAGTGGCATTGCATACATTCACATTATTGTGCAACTATCACCATCCATCCCCAGAACTTTTTCATTTTCCTGAACTGAAGCTCTGGACCCATTAAACACTAACTCCTCATTCCCATTCTTCCCCGCCCCTGGAAACCTCCATTCTACTTTCCATCTCCATGAATTTGACTACTCTATTACCTCATGTTAATGAAATTATACAGTACTTGTCTTTCTTGTGTGTGACTAGCCTATTTCACTCATAATATCTTCAAGGTTCATCCGTATCGTAATATGTGTCAGAATTTCATTCCTATTTAAGACTAATATTCCATTGTATGTATAGACCATATTTTATCTGTCCAACTGTGATGGACTTTTGGGTCGTTTCCACTACTATGAACATGAGTGTACAAATAGATGTTCAAGTCCCCTGGAACTGCACAGAGAAAGATGCTAAAAGACAAAACTTTGTGTACCAGGAGAAATGATGTCAATGTGCTTGTATCATGATCCTATATGGAGAACAGACACTTTTTAAAAGCCAGCTACAACCAGGCTTAGGTAAGCATGGAAGGAGGAGCCAGTGGGTTCCTAGATCAATCAGGGAAGGTTTCACAGAGCAGGTGGAATATGAGCTAGAATCTGACAGATGACTAGGAGTTTGCCGGATAGAAAAAGAAATGGAGAAGGGCAGGAAAACAAATGACTTAAAAAAAAAAAAGTAGACAAAATATTACATAAACACATCCTTTTACCCTGCAACTATGCTGGTAGGACTTTCCCTGAAGACACACTGAAGCAGGTACACCCAAGGCATATGTCCAGAGATCCTCACTGCAGCAATGTGTGGAAAACCTACCAGCTGGAAGCATCTTCTGCACCCATCAGGAGACCCTGGCTAAGCTATGATACAGCCGTACTCAGAATTAATATGCAACCATTATAGAGAATGAAGGGGGACTCCATGTGCTGATATGGTGGGAATCTCAGGCTTCTTTTTAATGAAAAAAAGATGTCAGTATGCATTCAAATTCTTCCCCCGTTAGCAATCATTATCTTTGGGAGGAGCAACTGTGGTTTGAGAGGAGAGAAACTGAAGTTTCTGTGTTATATATACCTTCCTATGCTCATTTCCTTTTTCTTTCTTTCTTTCTTTCTTTCTTTCTTTCTTTCTTTCTTTCTTTCTTTCTTTTTCTTTTAAAGCTATGTGCATGTGTTGTATTTAAAAAAATGTTTACAGGACTCTCAGGGTGATAGGCCATTTTTATATTCTTTATGCTTTCCTTATTGAAAATATT